TTTTGGTTTGGGTAAGGTGAGTTCCAGGTGTTGGATCCGTCGGGATAGGTCCGTTGCCTCGAGCTGCTTTGTCGTCCACGACCTCTACCTCGAGCACCGTTGCCTCGCCCGCCGCCGCGTCCATAGCCGTTGCGCTGTCCGGAGGAGCCGCCCTCACCGTAGCTGCCGCTGTGCTGAAGCCCGCCGCCATGGTAGCCGCCGCTGCCGTGCTGAGGACCCCCGCTGTCGCCGCTGGAAGACTGCCGGCCGCCGCTGTTGACGCCGGGCCTCTGGGCGAGTAGGGCCGTGCTGCTCGAGTCGCCCATGGGAGAGCGTTGCCGGTCTAAAAGCATAAGAGCGGAGCGGGCTTGGAGAAAAGTGGGCAGCGGATCCTGAAATTGAAGAAAAGACGTCTGGGCTTGCAAATCTACGGGGAGACCACGAAGCATCTGAAGAACCAATTGATGTTGGGACACCGGGGCATCAACATCGTCCAGCCAATCTGCGAGATTTTGCAGATGTTGACAGTAGGCCGCCATGGTGGTGTTGCCTTTGACAGTGGTACGAAACTCGTGCTCCAGTTGCATGGCACGAGCATTCTTATTGTCGTGAAACAAATCATGAATAACTTTCCAAAGAGCAGAAGCGGTGGAGACAGAAGAGATAACCAGATCTGAGACTTCGTCGGAGATGGTGGATAAGATCCATCCATGGAGGAGAGCATCGAGTTGGAGCCACTCATCATCGTCTTCTGAGAGAGGGACGATGGAGCCATTGATGTAGCCTTGGAGATTGAATCGGCGCACCAAGAGGAGGAAAAGGCGACTCCACTTTTTGTAGTTCGGTTGAGAGAGGCTGAGAAGAACCGGAACATGGAGTTTGACATTAGAGATCGTCGTGAAGGCAAGATGAGGGGTTTTTGCCGGAGTGGAGTTGGAGGTAACCTCGCTTTCGGCCATTAGAGAGAAGAGAGCCGAAGGGAGAAGGGGGGGGTGCCGCCGCTGGGGGACTGCCGACGTCGAAGGAGGGACGGCGGGCCGGCGCTGTGACTGCCGCGAGGGAGAGAGAGAGCCGAGAAGTAGGGTTAGGGTTTTTTTTGTTTAATTAGGCTCTGATACCATGAAGTAGGGTTAGGGTTTTTTGTTTAACTGAATCCCTTTGGGATTCGGTTTAGTATTTTTCCTAGTTTGCTTAGTTCTTGTTATAGTAGGAATAGAAATATGGTAGGAATAAAAGTTACTTAAATGCTTTACTCTCTTCCTATATAAAGGGGGTTAGACCTTTGTAAGCACAAGCCAATTCAATATACAGAATATTTTCTCTCTTATCAATTTCTACATGGTATCGGAGCAAGTTTTGAGTTCTTGAGACCTCAAACACGCTTCTTCCCCTGCCGGTGGGCATACAAAATTCAATGCCTACCGGCGGGATATTGTAATTTTTGATTTTCTTTGATTGTTCTCCCTCACTAAAGAATATCATGAACTCCTTCAACGAAAAACATTGCTGTCGAGGAATCCCGCCCAACCATCAATCTTAAAGAAGTTGTCCGAGAAGGGTTGTTTTACAGAGACAGACAACTCTTTCTTTAGCAGGCAATAAAAAAAGTCGGCGTTCAGGGTGTTCGAAAAGAATGGCGTTCCCCCTGTTTGTTCGAATACGGTGAAGGTTCGAAAAGAATGGCGTTCCTTTACTCGACTAATTATTCGGCGGATTCGAAAAGTTTGGCGTCTCCGTTGAAGAAAAAAAACTGAAGTGTCTAGATGACACTTGGACAACGATGGCAGCGGCTTCCTCAAGCTTTGTTGCTTTGTTCAATCTTTTGATGTCCAAGCTAGGCATGTTGAACTCCCATGCTCCAGCTTGAGGGGGGTGTTGGCGACAGAAGAAGGAAGCCAGATCAAAGAAGGAAACTGAATCCCTTTGGGATTCGGTTTAGTATTTTTCCTAGTTTGCTTAGTTCTTGTTATAGTAGGAATAGAAATATGGTAGGAATAAAAGTTACTTAAATGCTTTACTTTATTCCTATATAAAGGGGGTTAGACCTTTGTAAGCACAAGCCAATTCAATATACAGAATATTTTCTCTCTTATCAATTTCTACAATTCCAATAGTTCTATTCTTCTTTTTGTTTCATAAAGGATATAAATATAGTTTAAAAGTTATTTGGTAATCTATAAGTTGGAAAAATTAATTAATAACTACAGAAATGATTATCCCGATTAGAATCATTTAAAGAAGAAGTTTAAAATATCATCATTCTCATATGAAACCATTGTCACGCCATTTCAATTGGAACCACTCACCTATGATGCTTCATTCTAGGTGAATACGAGTGGGAGTGGGGGTGAAATTGTTGTGAGGGGTAAATAAGGGGTTAGGGGGTAGGGATTGTAAATATTACGAATGGAACATCATAAACACTCCAATTGAAATGGTGTCACGTAATTACATTATTTAAGATGATGTAACTCTACAATTAACCTAATTTAAAATAAGAGCAAATCATGTGAAAGGTACTAGAAAAATTTACACCATTACTTCAACAAGAAGATACTCATGACTTAAAACTAGCTCCGAGAGTTCTAACATTACATATTTTACATCATTACTTCTAGGAAGAAAATGCATACATCAACACTGATCACAAGACTTTGGAGTATTTGTATTAGCATAATTATTGTAATTATGTCCATGTGTATTAGTTTGTTGTGGGCCTTGTATAGTTATGAGCCTTATATCCTATATATATACATGATGTTAAAACATGCATTTTTTCTAAACTTATGCATTTTTCTAAAAGATGTTTATGTAATATCATTAAAATTTTGTCTGAAAATATAAATTTATATACTTAAAATGATTAGAAAAGTACAAAGTATATAAAAATGATTAGAAAAGTACAAAGTATATAATTTTAAAAAACTCTTACATAAGCGGGTCGATTAGGTCGGGTTCGGGTTTGATCGGGTTTGACCCATTTTATCGGATCATTTCAAGTTTAGTAATCAAAATCTTTGTTCAAAACCTAGTATTTTCGAGTTGGGTTTCGGGTAAAAAAATAGGACGGGTCATTTTTTGCCACATCTAAATAACATTAATAATATACGGAGCGTAACGCCCCAAAAGACACCCTAAAATTTATTATTAATTATTATTCAATTAATCAAATTTGTTTTGACTAAAATAAATCATTGTTAGGCTTTGGGCCGATATGAAATACGGAATATGTTTTGATATCGAATATCACAATCAAGATAAATCTCATAAAGATAAATCCAATATGTTGACTATTTGTGTGGTCTTGATTGGGAACTAAAGTATAGACCCAAATTAAGAAATAAAAAAATTATTTATGATGTGAACTAAAGGTCAAATGATTTATGGAAATAAATCATGAGAATAAATAATATGAATTGGAAGAGAGAACCTTTTTGAATAAAAGTCAACTAAATCAATTTTGACTCTGTCAAAGTCAAACACCCAAAAATATGATGTCGAAAAAAGTATTACAAATAAATATAAAAATTATATTGTTGAATAGAGTTTAACTGTCTGATCGCAACGGTGCAAACGGATTTCAATTCGGAGAAAGTTGGACAAAAAAGTGTACCCAGACTGGGATTGAAATTAGTCCCATTCAGGAACTTGCGTTTGGAATCATAAAAATCACAAGCCCCTCCACTGAGACACCAAAACAAGAGAAGCGGTCATCTCCCATGTCTTCTTCTCTCTTCTTCACCTATATAAAGAACTCAAACATTCACCATTTTTCATCATTCTTCTTCCAAAAGAGAGTTGTGAGTATAGAGAGTAAAGTAGTACTGTCAATTTGGTGTGAAGTCGTCAGAGCTGAGAGTAATTGTCGCCGGAAGTTTTTCCAGAAAATTCTCAAAACCTTCGTTAAACTTCGAGGTAAGCCCGTAGACAAATCTAGTGATTAGAATGTTTTTATAAATCATTTCTACATTCATAATCGGTCATTTGGTTGAGTTTTGTGTTTGACATGTTTGAAGAACCAAGAATCATAAACCATGAAATTGTTGTTAAAACTATGAATTAATGATACCAAAATGATTTATGAACCTTGGAGAACATTTCTATATAATTTAATTAAAGTTTGGTGACCAAAAATGGGGCTGGAGAAAAACTGGTCGAACAAAGAAGAAGATGAACAGTGATCCAAAATTCAGCAGAGTGGATCTATCCACCCTACTGGATCGATCACCTGGGGATATTTTTCTCTAGCATTGATCGATCCCTGAATTTCTGATCCAAAAATATTTTTGAAAATGTTATTTTTGAGCTCTAAAATCCTATTTTTTATACCAAACAATTATTATCAATATAAAGATGATTTTCACAATAAAAATGATGTTTTTGACAAAAACAATCTTATGTGATGCATGACGATAAGTTAGGGTGTTAACACTCCAAGTTAGGCCGCTATTTACTATTGGATGTTATGTTATTATTATGGATGATTATGATTTGATGAACCTACTCATTAAAATAATTATGGTGAATGATTGAACTATGATTTAAAAATGAATATATTGATGATTATAATGTATATTGAATTTAAGGGTATTTAGAAGAACTTTAAGATATATCCATAGTGATGTTGATTTTTAAAGGTATCTAGAAAAACTCTAAAATTTAGTTAGGCCTTGCGGGTATGATGTCCGGTGGCCAGGGTTAAAACGTACGTAGGAGATCCAGAAAGCAAACTTGAGTACCTACTCATTTGGGGGTACCACCCAACCCGACAGTGAACATTCCGTTGTTCAGTTTCTAGTTGACCTTAAGCGACGGTAAGTTTAAGATTTTGAAAACCTTTTTGAAAATCTGTATCATAAACTAGGCATAGCTTAAGGGTTGGTTAGGAATACCTTAAAATAGAATTAGTTTAAGAATTAAATTGGCCTTAGACTAAAAATATTTTATGACCATTCAGATCAAATTAAATCATTCTTAAAAAATTCATTCAGATCAAATTAAATCATTCTTAAAAAATTCAATTCAGATCAGATGAGCCGAATAGAACACAACCTTAGTAAGATCAATAATTTTATGAGCTTTAATAAGTTGGAGAAAAATATAGACAGTTACTACATTATCACAGAGCAGAAAAAAATTATATGGAAAACTATTTTTCATGTTGCTTAGGGAGGAAAGGAAAACAAAAATAGAAAGAAAAAAGAAAATAGTAAGCTAAGAAGATGAAAACATGACTCCTTCCTCTAAGCATACATAAGATCATTTTCCTTTTTAATAGAATGAAGTAATTGTATGTTTGGGAACATGGATTTGGATTTCAAATTCGGATTTGGCTTAAATTCCATGTTTGAGAAACTTAAGCATTTTGAATTTGGATTTGAATCAAATTCTTTACATTTAAAACAATGCTTAATTTGAAATCCATGCATCTTCCCTTGTCATTTAAAATTCAGGATTTCAAATTTTGGAATTGAAATACATGAATTGAAATGCTAGTTGCCAAACACTACCTAAACTTATTTGGATACAGAAGTTGTGTTTTGGAAGTGGAAAAAATGTGAAAGAATTAAGAGTACTTTTTTATGTTAAAAGAAGTCATACTCTAATTAAGATACTACTATGGGAAATACTTTCTTTATCCGTCCATACATTTCAGCTCTTGCTGTGGGAATATGAAAAATTGAAAAACTATATCAAATGTACCATCCTACCCTTCAACTATTAATCTCATAACTCTCCATATCAAACAAAGATCGACAGGCCTAAAACTGGAAGCTAAGTCTAAAAATGGAAATAAACAAAAGCAACAAGTAAACTAATGAATGAATGAATTGATAACACCAGACAATCATCCCTTCCTATTCAGCTTAACAGCAACAACTCATCACCTAGCAATCAAATTTACCAAAACGTTTTCGGGATAGGAGCAAAATTACGCTCTCCGTCCTCCACCTCAGGAGTCCGGTAATACCTCCAGGCTCTATGTACCTTCAACTTAAGGGCAGGTACCTTACGGGCGATTGCCTGCCAGATCATTTGGACGGCATCGCCCTCCTTTGAAGGGTACCTGTACTCGAACACATTCTCCACCTCCTTCAGCTTCCTCCACATCCTAGTCCACTCCTCTCTAGTGATGCCCCTTATGAAGTCGAGGAGAAAATTCTGTTTGAGGGCATCCGACGTTCTGACAAAGACACAAAACTGGGAGTAGTCGATCACATCTTCGTAGGGAAGCTCAATCTCGTCGCTGATGATGACTGGGACACAGTGGCTGGCAATGGCATCAAAGAGGCGGTTCGAAGAGGGAGTGTCCCCTGCAATGTTGAGGCAAAACTTGGAGGATTGCATCCCATGTGTCGCTTGCCGTATGCCATCTTTCTGTATGTTCCCAAATGAGAAGTGCACGTCTTTCTCGTCTTTTAGCATGTAGAACAACTCTTGCCGGATAAATCCACCCTGAGGATGAGAAACAACACAATCAAGGATCGTCTATGCGTGTCTGTGCAAAGCATGAGATCATGGTAACCCCAAAATGGTGGTTGGGGTTACTCTAGCACGACTCGAAAAGCAAGACAAGCTAACTATTCTACACAATTAATAAGCAGAATTTGGCTAACAAAACTATTTGATCAAGAACCTGAAAACCCATGAATCAATCAAGAAACAACAAATGTGCTGAAACTGGAGAAGAAACACAAAACCCAACACACCATAAAGCCTAATTGAAAAAATAACATTAAGAGGTAAGAAAAAAACCCCATTGAAGAGCTGAGCTAACTTACATCTTTTCTATATATGGCTCCCTGGAAGTATAGCAGAGTAGGACGGCTATCAAAATCGGACGTATCATTTACATAGTTCCGCACGACGTGCTTGTAAGGGGCAATAATGTCTTTCTCAACATTAGCCACAGAGGGAGGATACCTTCCAAAGTCAGACAGAATGAAAATTGCGGGCCAAAGCTTCGACCTTGCATCTATCAAGCTGTTCGGGTGGTGGGCAAGGACGATATGGTCCTTCCCGCCCGATCTCTTCCATTCTTCTTGAGCAGTCAAGAAAGTCACCAGTTTCTCTTGCAGCAAAGAGTTCATGCTCATTTTCCTACGCGGCGAATTCGATTTCGAAAACCGGTTATAGCAAATCGACGAAAAGAATGGGACGAAAACAACATCTGCTTCCTTTGAATCTGTCACCCTCAAGGCAGATCGACCTCTTGTGTCATCAAGGAATTGGGAATTCAAGAGATCCAATGTGAGCCAATACTCTATGCTGTGTTGCACATTCAACCCGCCGGGATATTCCGGGACCTGAGTTCTAATATCCGGCCAAACACCGTTCTTATTATTGCCATCAGGCTTCCAACCTAAGAGCCCAAAGTGAAATTCTGGGGGTAAATCGTACATGTACACTTTAAGGACTGGCTTAAGACTGTAATTGCTAGAGGAGGAGGAGGAAGGCGATCTATCATAACCTCGAATTGGGTCAACAGGGGACAAAAGGGTTAGGTCGACGGAGAGAGGCCTATGGGTGGATCGCAACACGAAAAACCAAGAGAATATGAACAGAATCGAGGTGAAGATGAACAACCCTAACATCCATTTCTTACCGAATGTTCCCATGGAGTGCGCATTTCTCTCCGCCATTGATGAAGAAACCCCTCATTTTATGGGAGTGGGTAGATCATCATCGCAGAGCATTGCACATCGAGAATCACGCCCTCTTCTTTCCTCCGGGCACTTCTGTGAATGTATCAAGATCGATCAGAATCAGAAACCCAATGCTCTGTTCGATCAAGGAAGAAGAATTGGTTCTTGAGCAATGCAAGCCAAGAAAAGTGAAAGCCCAGTTTTTGTTTTTATTTTTGCATTCAGGATTTTGGATAGATTTGATTTAATGAGACAGGAGAAAAAGAGGAAAGAGATTTGGGTATGAGGAAATAGGAGATGGAGCAAAAATGGAGAAGCTGGTGGGGAGGTGGTTACACCAAATGATGTTGAAAGTTTCAAGTCAAAGATATCTCTTTATTCTTTGTCGCGTTGCTGAAAACCCCCCCATGGGGTTTCTATTTCTTGTTTTCACACATCCATTCATATCATATCTACATTAAAAAAAGTAATCCTTCCCTCTAAAAAATATTTCTTGTTCACTATTTAGATTGTTAAACTTTATTTTATTACATATCTAATTAAATACAATTGTTATTTATTTTTAATTTTGTAGATCTTTTGATATAATTTTTAAATATGTAATTTTTATTTTTTAATTGCACATCATTTTTTATATAAAACAAGTTCTTTTGTGATCTTTAGGTTCATGCTCTTTATATAGATCTCAATACATAATTATTATATGTATTGAGCCTTAAAAAAGAAATCTAGTTATGAGCTCACTTGTGGATCTTAAGACCACGATAGCATAACTCTTCATATAAAATGATTTAAAAATAATTTTAGTCAAACATTATAACGTATAACAAGAAGATAACTTTTATATGAAAGGAGTAAAATCATGATTTAATTAGATATTAGCAGAGACTGCTCGCCAGCAGTCTCTGCTACCACTGCCAACCACACATGTTGCCATCAGTCTCTGCTAATATCTAATTAAATCATGATTTTAAATTTCTCTAAATAAATTTATTTCAGATTTTAAAACTATATTATTTCTCTAAAATTTCAAAATTCATATCATATCACATCTACAAAACTTAGCAAACGGGTTGTTAAAGTATCCCACATGGAAACTTGATGAGAAAATAAATATAATTGATATATAAGTTCTTAAGTTAAACTAAAAAAATCGATTAGATTTAATCTTTTAATGCAGTTCAACTCTTGTATCTTATGACCTAATCCAATTAGCATCATATTAATGGACTTGTATTCTTTACTACAAATGGGGCAAGATTATAGTTTCGTTTGTATCTTGTATGTAAACACATTCTTTATAGGTAGTGAGTTTGTGTAAAATTCTTTCCATCCTAAATTCTCTTAGAGCCTATTCTTAAGGAACTAAAAAAATTAGAAGAAACTGGAAAAACCTTCAAAAAAATGGAAAATCTAAAAAAGTTTAAAAAAATTTATGCTAGTATATTTTTATATTATTCCGATTCTAATTTTTGTTGTTATAAAGTATTATTATTATTATTATATTATTATTATTATCATTATCATCATCATCACGTTATGTTAATGCATGCTTTTAAGATTAAAAAAATATTGTTATTTTTCAAATACAAAAAACTAGTTTTTCAAAAAAAATTATAATACAAAGTTAGCATAAATATCAAAATGTTAAATTTTAAAAAGTTTTTGTGGTTATGTTGCACCTCAATTTATTTATCCAGTATTTATTATAAATAGTATATTTGTAATTATACTTTACATATTACAAGATTGTTTTTAAATATCAGACATGTCACATAATGTAATCAAACATATTTTTTTCTTTCATGATTGAAATTTTGTTTTCATTGTAAGTCCTGTTTTTAGAATAAAGACATAAAACTTTTTTTTACATTTTTTATGTTTTACTCCTATTTTAGTCTTTTTCTCTAAACTATTTTGACTTTCAATTTTTTTATAAAAATTAGAAAAACAATTAAATTTTTGGTAATAAAGGGAAAGCTGAGAAGTCTTATATAAAGTTAGATTAATAAAACATTCTATTTCTGTTGAAATATTGGAATAATAATATGGCTCCTTGAATTTTGGAAGACATGATCGAGTGTGTATAGGAGAGACTCTTAATAGAACTAGAAATAGAAAAGAGAAACCAACTAAAACATAACATCTACCTTAAATAAGAATAAAAAGTTGACTTATAATCAAACACTACAATAATTAATACTATTATTATTATTGTCTAACAATTTCTATGTAACTATTTTATCTATAATTTTTTAATGTAGTTTAAAATATTGATGTTTTCTTGTTTTATCATGTTGATTAATATACAAAAAAATTGCCTTATTCGTATTAAAAAGTTGACGAAAAAATAATGAGTGTGAATCGTAAAAATGGTGAGTTGAAAAAAATAATTTATAAATTATAGTTATGAACATAAGGGTTGTAATAATAATAATAATAATAATAATAATAATAATAATAATTGATGGTGTAAATTATCGACCGGTGTATCGTTTTTAGCCAGGCAAAAACGATAAATTAGTCTAAAAAATACACCAAAATATAAACACGGGAATTTTGACGTGGAAACCCAAATCGGGAGAAAACCACAGCCTTTTTTTGGCGGTACCTTGCCAACGGGAGATTTTTATTAACATCGGGGGTGTGTTCATGGTACATGATTTAGGCTCGGAAGCCATTAATGAAGCTTAAAAGCTTATTGAAGAACAAAAACTATAAAATTCTAGAGAGAGAAAGTGTAATGGGCATGGGAGAGAGTGAACATGGCCTCCCCTAACAATTAGGGCAACCCTCTTTTTTATAGGAGAGAGTGGGAGCATCTACGGAGGAATATTCTCTTATTTCTCCATTTTATTAAACAGGTCCAGTTTGACTGTTCTTCGTAAATAATTGGGAAATGTAGGCCGAGCCACGTATTATTTCTCATCAAGAAGTCCTCCACTTTTTTAAGTTGTGAGAATCATCAACATAAAAAAGTAAATAAGTCCTCCGAGTTCTATCTTCAGTCTTCGTACTTTGGATTCTTGACCGGTTGATATTATTGCTAGTCCTCCGAGTCTCCACTAATTCTCTAATTTCTTGAATCAGAAGTTTTTCTTGCAAAAAATAATATGTACAACATTTTTTTTGACCGGCCTATTCCGTGCCCAAAAAATTATTATCTTTATCGAGGAGTTCGGTGTTAGGTGATTAAAGTTCGTGTGAATAAATATCGTAATGAGAGCGATGTTAGTTCGATAAAGCAACGATGCTTCGAGTAGTTATACGACACCGGAGTTAGTACGATGAAGCGACGGTGCTTCAAGTTGTTATTTCGTCGAAACCGTTGTTAGTACGATATATAGAGAAATTAGTATATCGAAAAGACCGACGTTACTTAATACGAATTAAGTACGCTGCAGTAGCTTTGTCAAAGATCGATGTTATCCCGGCTAACTGATGCAAATATCTTCATGTCATGCAGAGACCACTTCCGGAGTGCCTTATTCAAAAGGCTTGAAGAATCGAGTGTCCCCGATAAAAGCTCAGCTGAGACACCGGTGTACCCAATTCGATTGGGTTCAGACTTACGAGAAAATATGTGCAAGACCAGTGTGTATATCATTCTTGGCCTGTCTCGCGCAGAAGAATGATATTTACCAGCGTGCCAAGCCGGGCCTGTGTCACATATTTTAATATTTTTTATTATACCGGTGTAGTAACTAGCGTGCCAGGCCGGGCCTGTGTCTCAGTCTTCCACTTTTTTTTTAAATACTGAGCAAGACCGGTGTGGTAACTAGCGTACCAAGCTCGGCTTGTGTCTCAGTCTTCCCTCTGAATTCGTCTAAAAGGCATGTGCACATACCCAAATTATTGCTCCATAATGCTTGGTGCAATGTAACATCACTTGTTAGTGGTGGGGCCCATGATAAATAGGTGGGGAGCTTATTTTTCCCTCTTCCCTCGATGTTCAATGCACATTCATCTCCCATCAAAATGATCAATTGATGGGCCCCTTTTGAAATATGTGGGGGAGTAATTCTTGATAGCTCGTCAACCTTTTTCTTTTAGTGTGAACACTACAAAAAACTGCTAAAATCGCGACAGAAAAATTCCGTCGCCAAAGGCTTTTTTCTGTAGGTAATCGGTTTAATGACGGTTTTTTTCCATCGTCATTCCTTCGTTAGTATCAAAGTTAGTGACGGTTTTTGAATTCCATCGTCATTCCACGTTTAACGACGGAAATGTCAACCGTTATAGCAATGTGACCACATAGCGACGGAATTAGTATTCCATCGCCAATTCCGTTGCCGAATTGACAACAATTACACAAAATCCTGCAATTTTTTCAATTTCACACAAGAACAACATCAACCTGCTCTAAATCACAACACAACATCAAACAACCAACAAATACTAGAAATGAAGAGTATCAAACAACAAAAAATATTCAAATCACCAGCTACAATTAAAATTCAAATAATATTTATAAAATTCAACTTAACAAAGATATCTAACTAGACTTACATAACCATAAAACTTAAGTTTAATATAATGTTCTTCAATTCTAATAAAACACACAACAAGCGCCTGCAAACCCCAACCCTCCTCCATCTCCATTGCCATCTCCATTTCCACGTGAGAAAACTCCTCCATACACTCGGGTCATTTCTTCTCTAATCGACTAGCTCTAATTTCGTCTAGCTCTCCTCTCAACCTCCTGATCTCATCATCGCGAGGATCCCACATAGAGCTGGTACTAGCACGTCTTGCATCACTTGCATGCATTCGTGGCAGGCTCCGTGCGAGATCTCCAACACCATGAACCCGATTCTTGGCACCATGTCCTCCGACTATAGATATAAAAATCTCGTCAGGTGTCACATTTAAGCCTTGTTCACGATTTGCCTCCTGCATGGCTACGTAGTTTTGCTGCAATACACCAAACATACATGTATTATGAATTCACATTCAATTATTGAATTCAATGAAAACTAATCATATATATACAATATATATATTCGTTGTCAGTTACTAATACTTCTTCTGCCTTGTTATTGACGTAGGTCTTCCCATCATGTTTCTGTGTATGTGTGTGTGTTTGTACGAAGAGTACAAGTAAGAATCATGTCCACTTTTACCCTAAAAAAATAAGGAGGCGACGGAATTTAGCGACGGAAAATTCTGTCGCTAAGCCAAAACGATGCGTTTAGATAAAATGAAGGAGGCGACGGTTTATTTCCGTCGCCAAACTAACACGGAAATACTCCGTCGCCATTTCCGTCGCTATAAAGGGCGCGCACAACTTCCCGCATATACCTAACGACGGAAATTTAAGTCCGTCGTTACGTATGGTAGGCATCCAAAATCCGTCGCTACCAACGATAGAAAGTATTCCGTCGCCAAATTCCGTCGTTCTTTTGGCGTTTTCTTGTAGTGGAAGCTACTGCCATTCTTACTTTTTCTCTCCTACACGATTGCTGGTCGTTTTTTATTTTATTTTTTTCGCTTGTCCTCTTCCTCCTTGCAAAGAATTCGACTCCGACGACTTGGATTAACGAGGAGACTACTGTTGAGCATGATCTATGCTGAAACTAAATTGACGTTTTCCCCAGCTATGGAACCCTAGACCCGCCGGGAGTCAATCGAACGTCCTGGGAGCTAATTCCTTCAATTGATTAGTTCCATATGATCCCTTCACGACCCCTTGAGGCGATATGGAGCTTCTGAAGGGAGGCGTGAACACACATCCGACACAAGAATGGGCAGATGCAACGGTCTATTTCGGTAGAAGTGGACGAGAGCCAAAACCAGTGGCGGCGAAAATTGCCGTTTTTAGAGGGGAAACGAGGTCCAATTCAAGCTATCTTCAGGGAAAATATATTTCCACAGCTGTAGCCGCGATGAATAGATCCTGACGAGCAGCGTCAAGCAATGGTAGCAGCGCCCAGTGATGCCACTGCTCCACACCTGGCGGTAGAGTACTGACTCGATTTGGGACGAGGTATAGTAAGGTGATGGCGGCTCGTAGTGAAAACCACGAACTCATGCGCGCGGGAGAGAATCAATTGGCAACAAGTTGCATCATCCTCCCCCCGTTTAACAGGGGCAGCGGCGGCAATAAGTGATTGGGCCGTGATTGCAGCATTGAACTTTGGAGAGGACGAGGCGACCTTTTAAGAGAGCCGTGGCCGGTGCTGAGTTTGACTAGGCCGAAAATGGGGAGGCTATATTTGTTGACGGTGAGGAAGTAACCGACGAGTGGGTCAGAGATGTCGGTGCGTTAGGAGTCGTGGATGTTCTGTTGTACCATGGAGGTTCCGGTGCAGATGGTAACAGCGTGGAGGAGGATTGGTCGTTGTCTTCCTCTGGGGAAGAAAATGGCACGGTGAGAACGGAGAGAAGATCCTCTGCTTTGAGGCATACGATGTGGCCTCCCATCTTTTGCTCCTTGAAGATTCTGCGACGTGTCTTTGTCTGTCCGGAATGAGTCTCTAACGTACCGGGACCGAAACCTGCCCTGAATGTTGCCGCCGCCGTAGCCCAGCCGCTCGAGGAGTTGCTGTTGTGATCGTTGGCTACCTTCCTCCTTCTCTTCCTCTTCCTTCCCCTGTTTCTAGCGGTGGCGGTTCATTTCCTCTTCTTTAGACTGCTTCTCCTCTTTTTGTTGAGCAAAATGAAAGAAAGGAGCAAAATGGCAATTTTCTCGGGTCCCACGGTCGGCGCCAAAATGATGTGTAAATTATCGACTGGTGTATCGTTTTTAGCCGGGCAAAAACGATAAACTTGTCTAAAAAAATACACCAAAATATAACCACGGGAGTTTTGACGTGGAAACCCAAATTGGGAGAAAACCACGACCCTTTTTTGGCGGTACCTTGCCAACGGGAGATTTTTATTAATATCGGAGGTGTGTACATGGTACATGGTTTAGGCTCGGAAGCCATTAATGAAGCTTAAAAGCTTATTGAAGAACAAAAACTATAAAATTCTAGAGAGAGAAAGTGTAATGGGCACGGGAGAGAGTGAACATGGCCTCTCCTAACAATTAGGGCAACCCTCTTTTTATAGGAGAGAGTGGGAGCATCTACGGAGGAATATTCTCTTATTTCTCCATTTTATTAAACAGGCTCGGTTTTACTGTTCTTCGTAAATAATTGGAAAATGTAGGCCGAGCGACGTATTATTTCCCATCAATAATAATAATAATGATATTAAAAATATATATCTTTTTTAGAGTAATTGGTTGGGGAGTAGAAAGAGTTTGAAGAAAATGAGAATAATTGGAAGAAACTAAAAGAAACTGAAAAAACTACTCCCTCTGTCCCATAAAGTGTTACCCATTTTGACTAAAGTTGAAATTAAGGGAGGGATAATTTTGTGTTGACTTTCCAAAAATACCCTTGATGTGATGGGTAAAAGTAGAATGTCATGTGTAGATTATTAGGAAAAAGGTATGATGTGATAGGTAGAGTTTGAAAGAGTAAGGGGTAAAAGTGGTTTTTTAATAGAAATGGGTAAGAGATTGTGGGACACAATTTTTTTGAAACGTGTAAATCTTTTTGGGACGGAGGGAGTATAGGTTAAGAGTTTAAGCCCTAAAAAACAAGCTCTTAATCTATATGAAAATACCAATCCAATCTGGCCAATCCAATCCTTGAGCTCTCATCCCATGATTAGGAGTGTTCATCAGTCTAAGACTAAACCAAACCATATCAAATTGAACAAAATATGGACCAAAACCAAACCAAAACCTATTTGGTTTTGAATCAAACTAAACTGAAGTACATACAAACAAACCGATTTAGACTGATTGAGCCAAATAAAAAAACTGCATTTTCAGTCCAAAAATTGTTTTTCTGTTGCGTGTTACGATATTTGACTTGAGTTATTTCAAATAATTTTATATGAAAAGTGGTGTGAAATTAAAAAATATAAATTACATATTAAAAACTACATCAAAAGATCTATAAAACTGTCATGACTAAATTATTTTATCAAATAAATAACAAGAATAGGCTAATAAAATAAATAAAATTTGACCTTGTAAATAGTAAACGAAAAGAGAATTTTTGAATGGATGAAGAATTTTGTAATTATTTTGATCTTTTAATTATATTTTGTACCTTACAAATAGAAAAAATAAAATGAAAAAACAAAAAAAATATATATAACATGAACTACTATATATAATCATAAAAACCATTGAATAAATTATTGAAAAAGAATTATTAAATAAATTATTGAAGTTCTATTGAATTGTAAAAAAAATTATTGAAGAAATAACTATGTTATTTAAATAAATTAAGATATCTCTAAAAATTAAACAATGTGTAGTACCAAACTTAAAAAGTAGATTTTTATTAGTAGTAATATTTAACTCTTTTAGGTCCAATAGAAACGGACCCTAACCCAAATGCCTAAAATTTTTAAGCCAAAGCCCAACCCAAAATTCATTCAATCCAGGTTCAATCTGGACCTAACGATCCGATTCAATTAATTTTTTCAGTCCAAACCTATCTTGAACAGCCTACCCAATACCCATGATAATCAATCAACTATTTTGAAGAACACTGTTAGGAACCCTTTTGAGCTTGGATGAAGTCGTGGATTAATATATCCCTAAAGATATATTGAAGAACATTTTGTTTCACTAATATTTTTTATTGAGGTAGAGAATCCAACAACATTTCAACAAAACTAAAGCATCAATCCTGCTTTTCCACCTTCTTTGAACTTGAAATCTGAATCTTGACTACTGTGTATCAAACAAAATCCAAAACAAAAAAGGACGACGATGAAAGAAAAACAAAGAAAGCATCAAAAACCCCAAATTATAGCAGAGATTGCCCCCAATCCATTCATTCTACAGCTGCATTTTCGAAGAAAGGAGACCACTGAAGCAAGAGCTTCTAGAACTGGAACTGCATCTCTGTGTCATAGCCAAGAGCTTCAAGGTGGGCAGCCATGGCTTTGTTCATGGGTGGTGGCCCACACCTCAATATCTGCACAGTCATTCATCATCACATCAAAACCTCCATATATCATTATTCAAAAGAATTGAAGATTGGATATTGATTGAATCCAATCGTTGAAAATTTCTGGTATGGGACTCAGTATCTTATTGATTTATCCTTCTTTTATTTAAAAGTTTTAATAAGTGAACAATTGAGTCATTTTGAATCTAAAAGACGGAACACTTGCAAATAGACTTTTTTAGACAAACAATCGGGTGGGTTAGATGGACTACAGGCAAAATAAACTTCCATATGGTCAACCCAACTAAAGAGATTGTTGAGAATGGACCTCCTGACGTATAACCAACTTGCTCTGATACCACCATAGAAGTTAGGATTGGGTTGGAGTCACGAGACGCATTGGTCAAAGTAGACTAAAAGATTTAATCTAATCAATTAGCTAATTCGACCCAGATCGTTTTAAATCATTTTTCTCTATTTAATGTTCTAGTATGAGACTCTAAGAATTGTTATGGATTCTTGTCATTTAAACAATATAATAGTCGCAGCAAATAATAAGACCAACAACCCAATAGAATCTCACCAAAAAAAGGTCTGGGGAGGATGTAAGGTCTGGGTAGAATTAGCTAATTGATTGGACAACCAACTTGGAAATAGGGAGATACCTTAATATCGGTTGCAGGTGGTGGGCAGTGGGATTTGATCATTTCCTTTGATACAAAACCGACACCGCCACTCCATTCCTCAGGAGGCTGCAGAAGCATTCAAAGAATAAATAATTTTGCTATAGAAACAGGGCAGTTATTTTATAATTAAAAAAAGAAAAAGAAAAACAAATAAGAAAAAAAGAATTTAATCATTCTGACCTGGTTAAGCACATAGTAAACTTTAAAACGTCGTGGATAGTTGGAAGCAAGGCCATCCAATTCTTCCTGGAAAAGAAGACAAAAAGCATATTTAGAATGCATCGTCAATGAACTAATAGTCACTTGGAATGAAAATGGTTTTTTAAACACATAAATGCAATGCTCTGGTTTCATAATTTGTCTGAATTTCAAAAATGAATCTTTATTCAAAGAAAGCATATTGTGTTTTACCTTCAAAAGAATATCTTCGTATGTCACATTGGCATAGATAAGGTGCACCATCGTGTTGTCGTTCGGATTTTCTAGAATTGCTCTGGCAACCTTAACATAGACAAGATATAAGATGTCAGCAGCTTTTCGGACTTTCTTTCTTTATTTTCTTCAAAAGCTGCTATATTGCATACATTCACACACAAACCTGAAACATTGGAGTAATGCCTGAGCCTCCAGCAAGCATCCCAAAAGCACGTACCTCGCCAGGTTGGTACTTAAAACGACCCTGTGACAGGCAAGAGAATATATCCCATACTGTAAGAGTGTAAGCAAAAATAGATAAGTGGATGAAGCAATGAAAACACAAGTGTTTTTGACAGTCCAAAGAGAACAATTTTTAATTCAATGGATAATGTTCAATCTTTCTCAGGGGTAGCAACTACCAAGCAAGAATCCATTTGTCCACTACCCATTCTATTCCTCATTATCTTTATTCAATTGAATCACATTTTTAATCCATTAGAATTTAGAACAACTGGCTTTATCAAAGAACAATTATGTTGATTACGGTGTATTTGCTAAGGCTTTGTTTGGGAACAATGTTATCAATTAGAGCGTCTGTTTTGAGAAAAATTTTAATGGTGAAGTTTGATTTTAAAAACGCTAACTATAAAGACTACCATTAGATTTTTGTTAAAAGTAATAACAAATTGAATAGATTGGATATCCATGTAGCAAAATGTTAATGGATGGGTTAGAGTTTTTAAAAAGAGTTTGATAGCTCCTAAATGGACTGTTTTTAATCCATCAACTATGGTCAGAATAAAAATTGTCCAGTCCATCCATTTGCTACCATAAACTCTTCTCTTAACAAACAAAACACTAGAAGAAAGCATGGAACACAAATTGATGTAATATGGAGTAATAACCTTGAATTTACCTTGGGCCCCTTCACGGCCAAATAATCACCGACACGCATCTCTCGGAAATGATGAGACATCCTTCCTTGCGGATACATCTAAATATACATGTGCATAGCATTAAACCAGCCATTAGAGACACATAAGTGTAATCTTTTATTTAAAAAAATAATTTGGAGTATGTACCTTAATGACTAATTCAAAATGGCCAACATCAGAATCCAAAGTAGTTGGAGTGTATGGTTTGATAACATCTTCACCTTGACTGTCTTTACCCCTGTTTTATACAGCAGCAGGAACCATGAAATTGTGTGGCAACAAAGTTCCCATATCATTGAGCAGTAAGGGTCAGTTTGGAAATCAGAAAATACTAAAGTAATAAAATAGAAAGGAAAACAGAAAAGATAATTGGAGAGGAAGAAAATGTGGAGAAAATAAAAGATGGGCTTGAAACCAAAGCTTTTATTTTAGATACATGTAAAAATATTTATAAAACAGTCATATTCCATTTTCCTTTGCCCTTTCCAATGTAAAACTAAACATAAAAAAACGATTTTGCTAAACACTCTTAGTTTAGTATTTTCCATGATCCAAACATACTCTAAATATAAAGAATTTAAAATCCCTATATATCAGCGAACCAAACCTGCAACTAATGTGTTGTCCAATGGGTAGACCCAAAATAGAAGTCGGTGTCGGAAGCTCAAATCTAAACTTTGCTACATTATGACTCAGCTGTGTACGCTTCACAAGCTTGAATTCCTTAAACTTCTCGGGATCCAAGCATCCTATTAACCCACAAATCATCCAATGAATCAATTCTTAAATTAACCAAAATCAAGTGAATGCTTAACGTACAAAGGGAGAACATGCCTAATACTCAGTATTAAAATAACAAATAATACTCCATCCAAAATAACTCAAATGTAAGGAATGAGGGTAAAATACAAATAAAAAACTGAAACTAGTTTATATTTCATTGATGACAGCAATGCTGATATACTGTGTAGAAGGTACTTTTGATCCTCCAGAATAATTTGTTTACTAATTATGGTGAATGGGCAGTAAAATCCAAACGGTGGAAATAAATATTGGTTGCATTTGGCATTAGATTCAGCTTTTTTTAGTGTTTTTAAAATGGCTATCCGATCTGATTTTTTAGCTTTTAAAAAGTTAATCTAATCACAAAGGTTGTTTCCGAACAAAGACATTATAAAGAAGAGCCGAAACTAGAGCTGGTAAAAGAACACTATTAACTGAGTTTCCAAACCTTTGGTCTTCTTGGAAGAGAAGACATAAGCCGCAGCTGCAGCAGCTGCGAGCAGAGCAACTGCAACCCCTATAAAAAGTTGAGATTCGGGTTCATCGAAAAACTCCATCTTTTCAAAACCTGGAGCGAGATAGAAACAAAGTAGCCTCAAATTGATCGCCGCGAAAGAGAGAAAGGAAGAAGCATGAACATTTTGAAAGCTTAAATAGATCTATACAACTACTGTATATATGTAATCTGAATAGAAAGTCTGCTGAAACCGATCCGAATTCCGACGGCTCAGCGACATGGAACGGAGAATGAGAAAGATGAAGAAGACTAAGAGACCACCTACCTTCAATTGAAATTGCAATTGACAGCAAAGTAAGAACCTTACGGAGTGGCGTACTGGCGTATATTGGTTCCACCTACTCCAACATCACATATTTTAATTTTAATTTCTTTTGTTTACAATTTTCATTTGATACTTGAAAAGGGGGAATTTTGAAAGTGAAAACATTTTCATTTAATATAAAGGAAAAATTACCTAAAATAATCCCAACTTTACCCGGTTTTTTAAAAATAATCTCACCTTTCACTGTGATGCATAATAATCCCAACTTTATTGAAATTTGTCAGTTTTGGGTCGCCGTTAAGTTTCTAACGGAGGGTTAACGGAAATGCCCGTTTTAGGCAACAAAATGAAAGTTGAGATTATTTTTGATGAATTTTTGTTTTTTAATTTTTTTTGAAATTTTTATTTAAATTTTTTGAATTACTTTCAACCTCCATTTCTTTTTCTTTTTTAAAGATTATTCTTACCTTAGAAAAAATAGATATAAAAAATAATGAAAATGAGAAAAATAACTAAAACCATACAAAATTAATCAAATAAATAATGTAATCAATAGAAATTAAACAGAAACTGGTAAGAAATAAAATAAATATATACGAAGTGGTGGGTTATAACATTTTACACATTATACGGAGTCTTAATGTACTACTTATTTTTTAAAAGAAAACAAGCCATCCGGTAAAGTTAGAATTATTGTAGATTATTTTTTCTAAAAAATAAGAACTGGTATGTTAATACTTTATATAATGCGTAAAATATTAAAATCCACCCGTATAATTTTATTTTACTTTTACCAATTTCAAGTTAGTTTCCATTGACCACCTTATTTATTTTATTATTTTTGTATCATTTTAGTTACATTTCTCATTTTTTCATTTTTTATATTTATTATTTTTATTTTTTAAACTAAGACTTATCTTTAAAAAAGGAAAAAGAAATTATGATGGAGGTAGAAAGTAATTTTAAAAATTTAAATGAAAAATTTAAAAAAATAAAAAAATGAAAATTCATCAAAAAAAAATCCCAACTTTCATTTTGTTGCCTAAAACGGGCATTTCCGTTTACCCTCCGTTAGAAACTTAACGGCGACCCAAAACTGGCAAACTTCAGTAAAGTTGGGATTATTATGCATCACAGTGAAAGGTGGGATTATTTTTGAAAGACCGGGTAAAGTTGGGATTATTTTAGGTAATTTTTCTTAATATAAAAATTTGTCTAAGTCTATACGGAAAGTAAGATATGAGACGGGGAGAGTATTGTTATTCAAATCAAGTAAGCATGGTGGTCTAGAGGGTGTGCAAAATGACTAATCGCATAGGGCCTTTAAAATTTTAAGGCCCCTATTTTTAAATTCGACATTAATTTTAAGACATAAGTACTCTATAAAAAATAAAATAGGGCCGAAAGTGAAAATTTTAGACCGGACCAATTTTATTTTTCATTTTTCGGGACCGGCCTTGCAAGTAAGGCTATATGGTATGTATCTTGTGCGTCAAGCAAGAGGCCTCGTCGGCACGCAAGAAGGCAGGAACACCCTAAGAGCAATGGCAATGGCGTGCCATTTTAGCTGGCACGCTGCCACATCCGCATATGCCTCGCACCACATCAGATCTACTTCGCGTTTTTGAGTGTTCCTCCACGGTAAGTGAGGTAGCCTCTAGGCTGCCTGCCACGCTCTATTTTTTAATTTTTAAAATTAGGTTAAAAATTTAAAAAATGATTATGCAGTTTCGAATTGGTTGAATTGTGTCATATCAACGTGTGGCATTCCATTTCTTTATTTGCCACTGTGAATGCTCTAACGAAGGATAGAGGGAACGACCTTGCCGTTCCTCCCGTTGCCTTTTTCCCCAGCTTCTTTGCATTCCGCATCTTTTCTTTTCGTTCTTCAATTTTTTTTCCTTTTTTAGTTTTCTTAATGTTTGTTTTTTAATGTTTACTTTTAAATTTTTTAAGTTTTCCTTTTTTAATCTTTAGTTTAAAAAAAAGCTTCTCCTTTTTTTAAATCCTCAGTTTTAAATGTTTTATCAATATTTATAAAAACAATTCCTAGCTTTTAAGTTTTTGATTTCTCTTTTTATTTTTTTTCAATTTTTTAAAGTTTGTACTATTTGATATTTAAGTTCTTAGTAAAGTAATTTAAATTATATTATATTTTAAAAATTAACTTTACAAAAAATGGAAAGGAATGGGGAACCACGTCTTTAAAAGGGAAAGGAAAGAGAAAGTAAAAGAAAAAACTAAGGTGTTGCAAACTATAATCATTTTGAAACAATAACATTTTTTTGTGGCTAAATCCCTACCAATTATTGAATACAATTTTTTTTATAAGATAGAGGTATTATATATACATTATAAATATGAGTAAGAAAATTAAATAATAATAATAATCTAAGTGGGGCTTGTCAATTAGCAGCACATTGTTACCAAAATTCAATATGTGAATTTTTTCAAATCCCATAAATTTGTAACGAAAATTTGGAAATCTGTTTCGCGAAATCTCTTCAAGTTTCGTACTGCCAAAGAATTGGAGAACAAAAGTAGTGTGCTTGGTAGTTTTTATTGTTTGGTAATTGCGTCATACTTTGACTCTCGTCAGTAAATAAACACTTTTGAAAGTTCGTATGTTCGAATATCTAATCTACGCATGTATTTGATCTCTCTGAGAGTGCAAATGAAAAAAGTACATATTAGCATCATTACAAAGTTCTGAATGTATACATATTTTAGATTAATTTTAATGAAACAACTAACATCTGAATCATGAGAAATGATCTCCATGGATTCGGTTCCCCTAGCATAGACGGGGACATTATGAACTCTTATTGCTCTTAATTTAAGCATTAAAACTGAGGACTCCTCATCAATATTTTTTTATAGCCATTAACAACCTCATGTTACTCGACAGATATAATTGAGCAACTATATACGTAGTATATGATATATAATATAATTAGAACTCATAATAAGAACTTTAAAATACAAAAAGCAGCTCAAAGAGGTAATTACGAAATGAGTTTGAGAATATCCGTATTTCTAGTAGAAACAATTTAATTTCTTGTAAATTTTTTATTTTCAGAATCAGCTTAGTCAGCCTAGCTTTTTAATAAAAATGGAAACTTATAGGTACGCTTTATACATTTTTTTGTATTCTCCCAACCAAAAAATGTAAACATAGAAGAAAATAAGTAAATGCAATATTTTTTTCTATTCAGAATTTGTTTTCCATTTGGGAATTTGACACTTACCAGAAACGTATGCGTACCAATATATTTAATTTCTTTTTCTATTTCAGAATTTTTTTTATTTTCATAATCAGTGTAGTTAGCCGAGCCTTTTTAATAAAAATGGCCGAAAACTTATTGGTATGCTATTTTTTTGAATTCTCCAACCAAAAATGGAAATATAGTAGAATTTATCAATTGATGCTTATCAAACTAAATGTCTACACAATATATTTTTATGTATTCTCCCAACCGAAAAATAGAAACATATTAATTATTAATTAATGTTTACCAATATATAGAAAAAACTTACTTTCTTTATTGATTTTGGAATTTATAAATATTTTTTATTCTTATATTTAGATTAGAAATAGTAATCAAGCTAGCCTTTTAGTAAAAATGATAACATAGAAATAAGCAATATATTTTTTTCTATTCTCCCAACCAAAAAATGGAAACATAGTAATTATTAACTAATGCTTACCAATATGTAGCAAAAGAATTATTTCTTTGTTGATTTTGGAATTTTTTATTTTTTATTTTCGTATTTAGATTATAAATAATAATCAGCCTAGCATTTTTATAAAAATGGTAACTTAGAAATACACTATATATTTTTTATATTTTCTCAACCAAAAATGGAAACATAATTATTTTTAGTTTATGCTTACCATTATATTTATTCTGTTCTCCCAACCAAAATGGAAACATATTAATTATTAATTAATGTTTATTGATATGTAGAAAAAATTTAATTTCTTAATTGATTTTGGAATTTGTAAATATTTTTTATTCTTGTATTTAGATTAGAAATAGCATTCAGGCTAGCCTTTTAGTAAAATGATAACATAGAATTATGGAATATATATTTTATATTCTCCCAACCAAAAACTTGAAACATAGTGATTATTAATTAATACTTACTAATATGTAGAAAAAATAATTTCTTTATTGATGTCGGAATTTTTATTTTTTTATCTTTGCATTTTGATTAGAAAAAATAATCAACCTAGCATTTTAATAAAAATGGTAACACAGAAATATGATATATATTTTTATATATACTCCCAACCAAAAAAATGGAAACATAATAAATTTTAATCAATGCTTACCAAAATTAATGCTTACTTACATGTTACTCGAGTAACACACACTTTCTATATATTACTTTGACATTTTTTATATTCTCCCAACAAAAAATGGTAATATAATACTTATTAAGTAATACTTACCAATATTAATGCTTAGAATAAATGCAATGAAGTAACCTGCACAAAAGTTTCTATTTATTTCTCACGTTTAGGCGGGAAAAAACTTTCTCTCCTTTTAAATATAGTATAGATGACGCTTAAAGAGACAATTCTTATGCAGGATCTCAAAAATGGGTGAACTTCTGCGTGACATTTTTTATAAACTTTCATTTCAAATTTGAGAATTCATATTTTTTTAAATATATTTTAGAACCCATATGGTATTAACCCTAAAAAATTACAAAACAAACACTTACATTTAGGCCATGTGTTATGGGGCTTGACCGCCGGCGTCACTGCGCCCGTTGCACCCCGTCACGGCATGACCACGGTGACACAGCCGGCGTGACGGAGGTGTGACGCATGGGGCTGGATGGCCACCGCGGGCTTTGCTGGCCATTTTTCTGAGGAAGTAGCCAATTGGCAACAACTTGAAGTCGTTTGACTTTTTTCTTTTTTCGAATTCAAAAATAGCCGTTAGGTCTCAAAAAAATTATATAAATTGAGTAAGATGAATAGGAACCGCACCCCTAAAAATACACTACATATTCCATAGAAAAACGATGAATTTGGATGGAGAAAACAATCAGTTCTAGTCTTCTGACGATGACGATTCACCGTTTATGTTTCTGCGTTGCGTTGAAGCTACGGTAAGCACTATCGTGACTATTTGTAATGAAAGTTCCTCCCAAGAGATTAAGCATTGGAGATGGATCAACCGCAATCGTAGGGTTGCAAACCAACGCCTTATTGAGGATTATTGGTTAGGAACACCAGTTAATAACGATGATCAATTTAAACATTGTTTCCAAATGAGTCACAATTTACTCAATTCTATTGTCAGCGACATAGAAGCATTTTCCCTTTTTTCAACAACGAATACATGCTACAGAAGCAAAGGGATTCACTTCGCTGGAGAAGTGCACAAACGCTATCCGGCAACTGGTATACGACACAACAATCATTTCATGGGACGAATACTTGAAAATGTTAGACAAAATTTCTCGTGATAGTCTCTATCCTTTTTGTAGAGGTAATTTTTTAACTCAAACATATGTACATCATTATTAGTTTAATATATCATACTTTTATTTAGTTAAAATATATTACGTACACGACTTACATTTATTTACAAACATCATCAATGGAGCACATTTATTTACATTGGAGCAAATTACTGAGTAACATTTTCTTTTATTAATACACATGGAGTACTCCGTACTCCCCCAAAAAACAGCACTACTCTAGAACTCCATAATTAATGAGAACACAGAAACTAAACAATGGATGGAGCACTTTAAAGTTTTAAAAAGGTGACCTATTTACGTCAAATATTAATAATAAGAATAATGTTAGGGTGCCACCACATGGGTGCTACCACATGGGTGCTACTATGGGTGCACCCAACAAGAAAACTGGTGGCAAACTATTCTCATTCTGTTTCATTAACATCATCTTCTTTTTCCACAAAATCACCAGTACTCCTCACCGCCGGGAGATTCCTCTTATACTGTGAAGACATCAACCGCCTCTCCAATGGGGTTTTCCTCTTGCTGACGACAAACCTATTAACCCCTTTACGCATTGGCATTATGGAAGGGAAGTCTTCATCCGGTATCTGGCTAAGCTCAGATATGTCTTTTATTTGAGCCACGCGCCGGAACCACCTCTCTGTTTTCGCCTCTTCGGACATGTCCAACGGATCATTTGCTTCCTCCTTAACCCCACACCCTTCTAAGCTCTTTCCCGTCCACACACTTCTCCTTGGATTCTGTTTGGCATGGGATGCATGATCATTTTCGGTGTGGCTACTCCCTCCTATGTCGTTTTCCAACTTATCGTGGGTTTCCTTTGTAGCGAAGAATCCGGGAGGGAATGGAACGAAAGGGACAAAATCCTTATCTGTTTCCCTTTTGTTCATTGGAGCGGTTAAAGAATCATCATTCGTCTGCACGGTCTCTGGAAAATCATTGTGCAGTCCTTCCATTTTTTTGAACCAATTATTTCCTGATTTTTCAGCTCTCTCTTTGTCTTCTTCTTCTTCAGGTAAGATACTGTTCACGGAGTTCCCTTTGTATCGAGAATTGGCCAGCCTCCTTTCCAAAAGTGTCTTTCTTATTGCGCTCACAACAGACTTGTTTTCTTCTTTCCCTAATGGCATTATCATCTCAGGGAAGATGTCTCCATCAGCTGATGTGTCATTTATACCAGAAGCATCGTTTGCTTTAATAAACCATTTTTGTGCATTCTCCTCACTACTGGTAAGCCTATCACGGTTTACAGTTCTATAATAAGCATTCCCTGAGCTGTTGTTATTAACAGTGTTGAATGAAGCCGCAGCTGGCCGTTTAGAATCACATCTGAGGCAGGCCACATTTCTTCCGTAGTTCAAGAAATCACATCTGGATTTATACAAAAGAGCATTAAGATGATAAATATGACAGATTATAAAAGGTGCTACTGTACCTCTGCCTTAAAAAAGGATGTTGTACAAATTTTAAATTTTAGTAAGGTACATCTATCGGAATTAATCAAATTTTCTATATATTTTTATTAAAGGAAAAAATTCATTTGCTGGTGAAGTAGTTTACGTACTTGGCTTGTTTAGGATATCTATAGAAAACAATACATTAAATATAATGAAAGTCTGCTTGGTTTTTTTCAAAAAGAACTGTTTTTGGGAGAAAAATAAGTTTTCAGATATGACTTTGTTTGGGACGGGAGCGAAAGACAAGAGAGACAAATACAAAGAACATAATGCTCACTTGGGACATTCCCACTCCCCGCCTGTTAGCTGTCTTCTCGGTCTAGGTTCTTCACACTCGAGACACTTCAAATTTCTTGCAAAGTTCATAAAACTGCACCTGCTTAACACTGAATCAGGTTACATAGCACGGATATTTCAACTATAGCTTACAGAATATGACTGATAAACAACAGTTTATGACAGAATTTTCTCACTCATTGCCTTTTTCCCTCCATCACAAACACACACTGCTAACACAAAAAACCTATTATGCTATAATGATGCTGCATATATACAAAGGCCAACTATGTATCACACACTAAGGCCATGTTCTCTTCACCCGATCTCATTGGTTATGAACTGATTGAAATAAGTTCTGAACTGATCTGGTTTGATATGATTGTAGTTATATTTAAAGCTGTTTCTCATCTGGTTTGATCTGATCTGATCTAATTCCAATAAGAATAAATAATACTCCCTCCGTCCCACAAAACCTTTCTCCTTTCTTTTTTTCATCCGTCCCAAAAAACTTTTCTCATTTCTATTAAAAATTCACTTTTACCCCTACCGATTCTTAACCTACTGAAGTTCCTAACACATCACACTTTTTCACTACTAATCTACCCATCACATCTACTTTTACCTATCACATCCGAGGGCATTTTTGGAAAGTCAACACCAAAATACACTCCTCTTAAATCCCCTAAAAATCAAAACAAGAAATGTTTTGGGGGACAAAGGGAATAAGTAATAAGAATAAGTTGAGGAGAACATGGCCTAACTAACCCCAAAAAGGTGGTCTAATAAGCGATGGAGGAAGCAATACGGTGGTAAAGAGAGAATAATGTTTTAAAAGAAGTGAAAGTTAATCACATACTTGGGGCATATCCAGTCACCTCTCTTCATTACTATGTTTTGTCCAGCAAACCTTGGTGTTTCTCCAGCTATACCTAAAAACTGGTGAACTTCTCGAGGAGGCAAGACAGCTGCTGGAGTTCCCCAACCAACTTCAATCAATTCTTGCAAAAGGTTTCTAATGGATGTTTCTAGGAGTTTCCGACTATACACAGGATTTTGTCCAGGAGAACCAGCGGGATTGCTGGCATAACTCAATATATATTTCATAATATCAACTGTGTATGCATCACCACGATCCAATGCCTGAAATGAGATTTGATAATTTAGAACTAAGCAAAACAACGAAGATACATGTTCGGTGCTAATCAAGTTATCAACTGAATGATAAATGATCTAAATGTTAATCATAAAGCTGCAATCAAATTAAGTAGATTTCCCTCTCTCTCTCTCTCATGCATTCAAATCTAATGTGAACACATGCTAGCAGTACTACTATTACGACAAAGGACGACCATTCCCCCTCCTCCAACCCCTAACCTTAATTTTATTTCTCCCTAGTATGAAGGACTCCGTAATAGAGAAGAACTTGTACTCGGACAATATGGGATTCATCACTTACATGGTTTCCATCAATACCAAGAAAAGCCCTCAGCCTACATGCTGTTTCAAGAGCGGTTCTGAACAAAAATGGTGTGCCATTTGACACAACTACCTCAATATCCCTCCTCGAGAGTGAACTGTGTAACCATTCAAACACGGAAGAATTAAACACATACTCATATTCTTAGGCACCAACAACTATAATATTACGAGTATAGTTTAATTGTTCCCAGCAGAAAACAGTCCAATTGCATTATTTACACCCTAACTCACGCTTATACAAAACTATATTAACTATACATATAAATTTCATGCATATAATTAAGAAACAGAGGAAAAGATAACAAACCCCAAAAGATTTGGTCTTTGTCTAGCAAACGCAAGGCATTTTCTAGCAGCCCGAACAAAATCATCTGGCAATTGCTCGAACGCCACAAATGCATCTTCCTCCAGGATTAATCCGTTCTCCTCCGACTGTCCGCTTGCGGAGATCGCGTTGATTAGGTTGAACCATTCTGGCCACGGGTGAGCCGTCAAGGGAGAAGAGGCATGCGCGCTATGTCGATTATCAACTGGAAGGGCCGCTGATTGAAATTGACGCCGGGAAGTAGCGATGGGTGTCCGAAGGGGTGGGAATTGGGCGGGAGAAGATACGGGGAGGCGGCTAGGAGAGGCGGAGAGAGTGCGGGCGAAAATAACGGACCGCCGATGTAGGAAGCAGCAGGGGCGGTGAAGTAGGGCGATTGGCGAATGAGTGGCGGTGAGAAATGTAAGGAACTTCGATGTACCACTCATTATGGCGGGAACGCAGCGGGGTGCGGCGGAGGCGGCGGTGAATAGAGGTTTTCGGGTGGTTTTCTCTCCGTTCACAGTTGGGATGGAATTCGCGAGCGGATAGAATTGTAGCGGGCCAAACAACCCTTAACAGTATAAATGGGCTTCTAATTCTGGGCTTCGATATGTTCTCCCACAAGCTATGACAGAGTAAATTTCACCAATGGTACTTAAACATTAGCTGAAATTTTGAAGTGGTGCCTAAACTTCAAATCCTTTCACAAAAATTCCTGAATTGCATCGTCGAGCACATGCTCAACCCCTTATGTTCCTATTTCTGATCAGCATAACGTCCCTTCATAAACGAAGGAAAACACTCGTCGTTTATGATCATCCCTTCAAGGTAAAGGAACACGGCTGCCTCAACCATAATTAAGAACTCATTCCCTAAGATCGATCAAAACAAAGTCATCAAGAGGCAATACCGTAAGACTGCATTCTCCTTGCCATTCCCCAACTTTGATCTTGACATATGCCTACACAGTGACCTTTTTCTATGCAGCATTTACGGTCCTGATCATAAATGATTCCCTTCTAACTTAGATTGCAGACGTCCAACCAGCCGCTCAGTCACAAAATTGTGACTAGAACCCGTGTCAATCATTGCCAACAATTCCACACCATTGACAATAACCAACACATACGTAAGTCCCCGGTTCACAAAATTATGGGATCTTGGCAGCCTTGAAATATTCTTCCATATCCCATAAGAAATTCTCCAATTCCTTAGCGTTCATAGTCCCATAAAAGTTTTTGGGTTCCGGCACTTTGATCTTTGAAGGAGCGACATCCATATTTATCCTCATAGTTATCGAGACAGCCTGCTTCAAAATCAACAATTCCTTTTTAACGGAATTGTTTTGTGCCTGACACGCTTTCATGGCTTACCCAAATCTATGAAGCTTTTCATTCACGCCCTTAAATTACTCGATTATTAAATGTGAAATGAAGTCAGCAGGATTGTCCACTTCCTCATCCGGCACCACCGATTGGTAAAGATCATTGCACTTCAGGGTCTCCATCTTTAAGAATTAGGAACAACTTCGGCTCCGATACCAACTGTTACGGGGCTAATTTTTCACTCACGTTTTTCACACCCGTACGACCTATTTTGTCTCACAAAATAGTCAACCTTTACTTTTCTTAGGGATAGAATATATTCAAGAACACGAAGAACACATATTTACGACCAACAACCAACCTTGTATAAATCTCATATAATACAAAGGAATAGCCAAACAAGCTTTGTTCTTTCACCCTAGTGGCCAACACATGCCATGCGCAACAATAATTAAATGTAAAACGTGATGGTTATAGGCCAACCATCTAGCGAGACATGATCCTTCACGAATGGACACCAGTGCCAACCGCCCCTCGTTAATTTAAAAGCCAGTCGCTATTTTGAATTTCAATCACCAACTGCCAATCTTATCTAGACAATGTAATTGCCACGCCCCCTGGCCTTGAGTCCTTAGCCAATTCGTGACTTCAACCCGAAGCCACCTTGGCATGAGCCTCGCCCCACGTTGAGCCCCATCACCATGCCACCTGTGAGCCAACTCGAGCGAACTTCATTTTTCACCGAACCAATTGTGAGCCACTTTATTCCTGCAAGTCTAGCCAACCTTGCCGGCGACTCCTGCCCCAAGGATCGTCTCCAACCTTAGCCATCCTTCCCTTAGAGCCAACCGTGTTATCCAAGCCAGCACTCGACCTTGATCAACACTAGCCAACTCCAATCTAAGGCCACCTTGGCCTTGCAAAAGCCATCCTAATTTTAAAGGGTCTAACAGCTTTCCATTACCAGTCGTCCATTTTCTTGGGCATAGTAATGATGCTCGGTGGAAGTAGTCAAAGTCCCTGTCGAAATATTGGAATAATAATATTGCTTCTTTTAATTATGGAATACATAATAGAGTATATATAGGAGAGATTCCTAACACAAATAGGAATAGAGAATGGAAACTAACTAACATACAACATCTACTACAAATAGGATTAGGAAGCTGACTAATAATGAAACACTACCATAACCAATACTACCAGAAGTAATATTAGTTTTATTGTCTAACA